ACTGCATTCAGTTACTGAAGACTGGAACTGTACTGCATTCAGTTACTGAAGACTGGAACTGTACTGCATTCAGTTACTGAAGACTGGAACTGTACTGCATTCAGTTACTGAAGACTGGAACTGTACTGCATTCAGTTACTGAAGACTGGAACTGTATTGCCAGTTAAGACTGGAACTGTACTGCATTCAGTTACCGAAGACTGGAACTGTACTGCATTCAGTTACCGAAGACTGGAACTGTACTGCATTCAGTTACCGAAGACTGGAAACTGCATTCAGTTACCGAAGACTGGAACTGTACTGCATTCAGTTACTGAAGACTGGAACTGTACTGCATTCAGTTACCGAAGACTGGAACTGTACTGCATTCAGTTACCGAAGACTGGAACTGTACTGCATTCAGTTACCGAAGACTGGAACTGTACTGCATTCAGTTACCGAAGACCACGCGGCCATCACCGGATGACGGTGACGCCGGGAGAACATCTCTCCACATAATACATCTCAACTACCCCCAAGAAGAGAAACGAGAGTGCATAACGGAACGACAAGGACCCCCCCTCCTCGGAGGGGGTCATACCTCTCCCCCCTTGCCCATGAACAGCAAGGGTAATTACAGAGTCAGGCTGTCACGCAAAGACCTTTCAACCATCCTCATTACAGAGCGCATAGCGATTGTCGGATCTTTCACTAGCCACAAGGTCACGGCGCTGCCCTACTCGTCTAAGATACGCCGAACACACACACATCACACAGTACGATACATATTTCCACAGGAGGTGATCACGCGATGTTTGTGCTGTGAGAGCGATGGTCGGCGGTCCATAGTGGTTGGCACTCGGTGTGTGAGTGGTCTCAAGTCCAAGCCCGCAGTGCAGTCAATAGTGAAGGCGATGAAAAAGATAAAACTGGCACTAAAGAACCGGTAGAAGAGCTTGGCTGTGAGAGGTGTGGCCGCCCGACCCCGCCACCTCTCTCCCCGCTCTCTCTCCCTCTCTCCTCTCTCTCTCTCTCTCTCTCTCTCTCTCTCTTATTGATTTTTCACATCCAGACAGAAACGAATCGATACCGGTGTCCTACTATTGGACAAAATCTCCCCCCTCATCTGCCTCCATCTCCAACATGATGAGAGCTGGAAGCCACTGTGAGGAGAAGCTAGTGAAGCAGGTGTAGTGTAGTGAAGATAGTGCCGGCGCTAGTGTCTGGGACAAGACCCCTGCCCCCCCCCCTTTCCCCTCCCCAACGCCCACACTAACCTGCTCAACACACCATAACTTGACCGCCTTCAACACAATACAAAACACCTGATGGGCGTACGACAGCTCCCATGACACCATACTATCACACACACACTCGTGAGAAGAAGTGATTACGGGGGAACAACTGCCAGCTCTATAAATATGTGAGAAGAGGGGAACGGTTGGGCAGTATGGTGCCGGTGTCGTGTCACAACCGTCTCCTCCAGCCGGCGTTTCCTTTCATGTCTAAGTGTTCACCATCGTCCCCTCAAGTGTCCCCTCAAAAATGTCTTTCTCTCCTCACTTGAGGGGTAGGTTCAATCTGAAACGGGGGATGTGCCTGTGCATCTGTGTTCAATGTTCACTATCGAAGTCTAAGCTCACTGTTGCCGACTATAGTTACGCAGAACGCCTAGCACAGGCCTCGCCGCACATGTAGATGCTGTAGGAGTGGACGGGGGAGAGAGCACAGCAGAGCACAGCACGACACAGCACAAGACAGAAGCAGCACCACCGCTCACCAGCCGGCGCTGCACTAGACTGAGAGTCGAGCACACAGGACCGAGAGGGCGGGCAAGCCCCGGCACCCACCGAGCGACCGACCGGGGATATCGGCCCTTTTCGTATCAGACAAGGGGGGGGGGGGGTGTTTGATGACGTCAGTTGATAGGCCCACTGCAGCCTTCATGACGTCACTTCCACCCACCCTTTCCCCCCCCCCCCTACTTACATTACTGCACCAACTTAGAAACAAAAAACATGCCTTCGGCGGAGGCCCGCGCAAGCACCACACACGAACAGTAACGAACCGAATATCTGCCGTTCCAGACGTGGCTCGGGACTTCGTGGACACATTAAACGGTTAAATTCATTATCGGGTGTGTGAGTTCGATGTCTACACTTGAGTTCGATGTCACAAGAGATCCTTTGTCGGGGTCCATGCACTGCTGGCGAGCTGTAAGCGACGAGACACGCGAATGTTGCACAGGTAAGGCATAGTCAGCGACCGGCCATCGCGCACACACACACACACACACACACTCTCTGCGGCTCACGGGTTGCAGTACACGCGCGTGCAGCGGCGGCTCGGAGCGTACTGAGGGCGTCCGTGTACACCAGCCAGCTCCCCTCGCTGTGTCCAGGGGGAAGCCACAGTCCTCCAAGCTATTTTTTTCACGCACACACCCGCCCGGCCATCCACACACACACCCGCCCAGCCACCCACACACACACACACACACCCCCCCGGCCACCCACACACACACACCCGCCCGGCCAACCACACACACACACCCGCCCGGCCACCCACACACACACCCGCCCGGCCATCCACACACACACACCCGCCCGGCCAACCACACACACACCCGCCCGGCCAACCACACACACACCCGCCCGGCCATCCACACACACACACCCGCCCGGCCATCCACACACACACACCCGCCCGGCCATCCACACACACACCCGCCCGGCCATCACACACACACACCCGCCCGGCCATCCACACACATACCCGCCCGGCCATCCACACACACACCCCCCCGGTCATCCCACACACACCCGCCCGGCCATCCACACACACACACGCCAGCAACCCAACTACCCATCCTTTCAACCGCACAAGTCAACCATCCACGCTTCCAGTCAACCATGCAGCCGTCCCTACCTATCCAGACAGTCATGCAAGCCTAACCAACTGAATCCACACAGAATCTATCCATCCAATTCTCCCCATATTCCCCACCTCTCCCTATGATCTCTCCACCACCTCTTCCTCTCCCCCCTATCCTCCACTTCCTCGTCCTATTCTCTCCCCCCAACCTCCACACCTCTATCCTCACTCCACTCCTGACGTCCGCTCAGTTTTTATCCACAGGAGTATTTTCAACACATGTGTCATTAACCGTGAAAATTCTCCATGGGAAAAATACACAAAAACTCATATTAACTGTGCAGTTCCCATCCCTGTGGCTCCAGCAATCCCTCAGGAGTCTATATACCTCAGCTCACCATGTACTCACCCACGCTCACTCACCATGTACTCATCAAATAATGTACTCACGCAGCTGCTACTCCGTATAGCAGTCATACTGAAACACTGATCTTGTTGCTGTTGTCATTGCTGTTATTTATTTCAAAGTGGGATAATGAGATATTACTGTCTGTCTGCCCCTCGCATCCCAGCTCTGATGAGACTCACTCATCGTGAGTCTCACTCATCGTGGTAAATAGTCATTCTAATTTGCCGCTTTCTCCTTATAATTACTTCACTCATCACAACTGTTTAATGATAAATTACTCCTATTGCAACTGTATTCAAGTAATAATGAAATTGTATGTGAAATTTTGTATAATTACACACACACACACACACACACACACACACACACACACACACACACACACACACACACACACACACACACACACACACACACACACGGTTGAGAGGCGGGACCAAAGAGCCAGAGCTCAACCCCCGCAAACACAACTAGGTGAGTACACACACACACACACACACACAGGTTACTAGAGTTTATAATTCAAATGAAAAAAAAACATGAAACTAGGCCTAAGGAACAGGAGGCCTGATACTCGCTACCAAGTGATAGATGAAATCCTTCATAAAACCAACAGACAAAAGCATCTAGGAGGGTTGATTTCGCACCGAAACCTCTCTCCTTGAAGCCCACATCAAAAGGCTCTACCATCATCGGCATATGCGAGGCTGGCAAACATAAGAAATGCCTTTAGAAATTTGAGTACGGAATCATTCAGATCGCTCTATACCACGTATGTCAGACCCATCCTAGAGTCTGCGGCTCCAGCGTGGAGTCCACATGAAGTTAATAAGAATGAGAAGAGAGTCGACGGTATGCCAACAGAACTACGAGATATGAGGTACGAGCTAAGGCTACGCGAATTGAACCTCACGTCGCTTGAAGACAGAAGGGTTAGGGGAGATATGATCACCATATATAAAATTCCCAGGGGAATTAATAGGGGGTAGATAAAGACAGGCTATTTTGCACAGGTAGCGAACCCACAAAGGAACAGGTGGAAACCTAGTACCCAAATGAGCCACATAGAAATTAGGAAGAATTTTATGTGTCAGAGTAATTAACAAATGAAATGCAGTGACGGTAGACCGACGGCTTTGCAGCATACAGGTCAGCGTTCAATCCCCGACCGTCGAAGTGGCTGGGCACCATTCCTTTCCCCCGTCCCATCCCAAATCCTTATCCTGACCCCTTTCCAAGGGCTATATACTCGTAATGGCTTGGCCCCTTTCCCCCCGTGTTAATTTCCCCCCTGGGAAGATGTGGTGGAGATGATTTCGGGGCTTTAGTGTCCCCGCGGCCCGGTCCTTGACCAAGCCTCCACCCCCAGGAAGCAGCCCGTGACAGCTGACTAACACCCAGGTACCTATTTTACTGCTAGGTAACAGGGGGCACAGGGTGAAAGAAACTCTGCCCATTGTTTCTCTCTGGCGCCCGGGATCGAACCCGGCACCACAGGATCACAAGTCCAGGGTGCTGTCCGCTCGGCCGACCGGCTCCGAGGCAGACAGACTTCACACACAATTTCAAACGTAGATAAGATTCAGCCCAATAGGCTCAGGAACCTGTACACACACCAGTTGATTAACAGATAGGAGGTGGGACCAGAGAACCGGAGCTCAACCCTCGCAAGCACAACTAAGTGAGGAGACACACATAAGGACAAAGACAAAAATTGAGAATCAGTGAAGAGGGATTAATGATTTATGAGAAACTAATCCCTCGTTCATTCATTATATTCATTATTCAACCTTTCATCATTTATCTTCATTCTTTCATTCATTATACGACTCTGCCAACCGGCCCTCCAGGACGCTGCCAACCGGCCCTCCAGGACGCTGCCAACCGGCCCTCCAGGACGCTGCCAACCGGCCCTACAGGAACCGGCCCTCCAGGACGCTGCCAACCGGCCCTCCAGGACGCTGCCAACCGGCCCTCCAGGACGCTGCCAACCGGCCCTCCAGGACGCTGCCAACCGGCCCTACAGGACGCTGCCAACCGGCCCTCCAGGACGCTGCCAACCGGCCCTCCAGGACGCTGCCAACCGGCCCTCCAGGACGCTCCAGGACGCTGCCAACCGGCCCTACAGGACGCTGCCAACCGGCCCTCCAGGACGCTGCCAACCGGCCAGGACGCTGCCAACTGGCCCTCCAGGACGCTGCCAACCGCCCTACAGGACGCTACCAACCGGCCCTACACGACGCTGCCAACCGGCCCTACACGACGCTGCCAACCGGCCCTACACGACGCTGCCAACCGGCCCTACACGACGCTGCCAACCGGCCCTCCAGGACGCTGCCAACCGGCCCTACACGACGCTGCCAACCGGCCCTACACGACGCTGCCAACCGGCCCTACACGACGCTGCCAACCGGCCCTCCAGGACGCTGCCAACCGGCCCTACACGACGCTGACCGCCCTACACGACGCTGCCAACCGGCCCTACACGACGCTGCCAACCGGCCCTCCAGGACGCTGCCAACCGGCCCTACACGACGCTGCCAACCGGCCCTACACGACGCTGCCAACCGGCCCTACACGACGCTGCCAACCGGCCCACCAGCACCCTGACTGTGCCATAGACTTGACAGCAAATCAAGTCAACATTACCATCATCAACTACAGGGAAACTTCAGACCTACAGCTCACCTGGTCGATGCTAGAGAAGTTGGGTTGTGCCCGAGTGGTTAATACTGCGATGAGTGAGAGGCAGTGAATGAGGGTGAGAGGCAGTGAATGAGGGTGAGAGGCAGTGAATGAGGGTGAGAGGCAGTGAATGAGGGTGAGAGGCAGTGAATGAGGGTGAGAGGCAGTGAATGAGTGACTGAGGGCTGTCAATATGGCACCCCCTAAGGAGCCAGAAATGTCAAGGGCTGCCTCTGCCTAAGGGAGGAACCTGCCCAAGCACTATTGGATATCGTGGACACATACCCTGATAACACATGGAGCCTCACACATCACCTAATAACACATGGAGACCGACTGCTGGAGTGTCAAGCACCAAGCGAGACGGGTACAGTGGATCCCCAGGCAGGTGAGGCCTCCACACACTCCACAACCTGGTGGATCACCACATAAAATAGTCGTATTGGAAAGAGATATAGCTGTCGCCGCTCAAAAGTTATCACCACTTACAGCTGTCGACGAGAGACTTAACAAGTTCAGTGCTAATGGAGGGAGCGGAAGAGAGAGGTGAGAGAGGGGGACAGGGGAGAGAGAGAGAGAGAGAGAGAGAGAGTCCGCGACAATACCAGTCTCTGCCTATTATTCACAGATTGCATTTCCGGGAAGTGTGAAGAGTGAGGCAAGAGCTTCTCTCCGTCAGAGCCTCCAACAGGAGACCCGCCGCCAAGCACCAGGAAACATTAACTCAACCCCCCAATCAACGGAAGATGAACTGTCGAAAGACGTCATTCGAGTTGATGTTTAAAATGGTCTTGTCCATCAAAATTTGTATCAGCGAAGACACATATGCAGTAACGCACACACCTGCGCCTATACACGCTCCTCCTAACACATACAGATGTGTACGCTGTGGAAAGCATATCACTTTTGTGGGACAATAGATGCGTTGAAAATGTGTGTTTTATCTGACTAATTAGCACCAATAGGTTTGTGTTCGTATATATATATGATTTTGGTTATGTAAAACCCGTACTGTTTCGACCCTTATAAAATAATGAGAATTTATTTATATACACACGCGAGCGCAGAATACACAATTAAGTGAAGCGATATACATTTACCAGTTGATTGAAGCTCGACCGTCCAAAGCACAGAAAGGAGAGAGCACACGCACACGTTTGCACACACACACACACACACACACACACACACACACACACACACACACACACACACACACACACACACACACACACACACACGCACACACACACACCTATAATTTGTGTTTGGGGTTTATATCCGTGACCAGAACATAGGAAATATTGCCATGCATCAGAATGTCGATACAAAACTAATACCAATAATTAATCGACTTGAGAATGGTCCAGGACGGACCGAAACGTCGTCGTCCCTTCAACTTCTAGTGTGTGGTCTGGTCAACCAATAATTAATTCTAAAGAAGGTTGCGAGCCGACATACGGCCCGGGAATCTTGACTCTTAAAGAGGATCTTGTCTCTGGGAAAGATAAGTGACTTACTCGTAGGAAGTTTAATCAGGGTAAGTGTCTTGTGATAAATACAGGAAGGAGACTTGGAAGACCTTAATGGAATTGTAGATTAAGCGGGAAGAGTCCAACAGAAGCAGGGGGGGGGGGGTAGTAGAAGGAGGGAGTGGGGGGGGGGGAAAGGAGGGAAGGGAGGGAATTATCAGGGGAAAAACGCCAAGCCATTACGACTATATAGCACTGGGAAGGGGGTCAGGATAAGGATTTGGGATGGGACGGGGGAAAGGAATGGTGCCCAACCACTTGGACAGTCGGGGATTGAACGCCGACCTGCATGAAGATAACCAATTGTGTACACCAGACCAGGATTGCACTGCTGAGTCTATTCTATGCTTATAGTCCTCCCTTGAAAAGCCACGACTATATTAATTAAAGATGCCCAATCACTTGATCAGACTAAGTTGGTCAAATTGTTTGGACAGCTTTACTGGAAAACGTATTTAGTATCTAAAGTTCACGAATGAAAATATGTTGTTGGAGTATATTTTGCGTATGCGAGAGGTAAGTCAGACTGAGGTACATCGTTTTGTCAATTCCAATTTTTGTCAGTTAAGTGTAGCAAAACATGAGAGTGAGAATGCTGCCAGAGGTGTCGTCTTGGGGCCGAGTGGAGGTGGAGTATGCTGCAGTTTCCTTCCTTAAGATGTTGTTGTTGTTTTAGATTCAGCAACTCGGAACAAGAAGTTGCAAGTAGCACAGGCTATGGTGAGCCCGTAGTGCACTTACCTGGCACAGGAGCGGGGGGCCAGTAGCACGGGCTATGGTGAGCCCGTAGTGCACTTACCTGGTACAGGAGCGGGGAAAGTAGCACGGACTATGGTGAGCCCGTAGTGCACTTACCTGGCACAGGAGCGGGGTAAGTAGCACGGACTATGGTGAGCCCGTAGTGGACTTACCTGTCACAGGAGCGGGGCTGTAACTACATGCAGTTCCCTTCCTTACGAAGTAAAAGAGAGACGTACACTGGAGAAGATCTCTAACCCAGAATGAGTACAAATGCGAGGTCTACAACCTACCGACCAGTCAGTGGAGGGACAGTGGAAGCGCAATGAACATTAGGCAAGTGGAGGCCACGACCAACGACTTTCAACCTTGGTCCAAATACAACCCGTCCTCGAGTCCATTCCATCCAGCGGTCGACCCCACAGACGCATTCATAAATTTTAACCTGCTGTTCATTCAAAACGGGAATTTTCTCAAATATAAATTAATATTATAATATATTGGCATATTGTGCATATATAGGCATAGGTTAGGTTAGGTTAGGTAGGTTTAGGTTCTGTTGGCGATTATTTGTATTTGTAGTACGTGGGTGAAGCATTTACAGCGTTGTGGTTCGAACAAAACTAGTCAGTGAAGCACTTGTTCCGGAGGTGTTCGAACGAATCAGTTGTGAGTCGTGTGTAAACCGTTTTTCATTCATAAACAGGGGGTTTGGCGAGTGCATGGAATCACTTTTGGATCTTTGGAGGACGGGCTGATATATGGCAGCCCGTTCTCCAAACAAAGATCAAAAAGTGATTCCATGCACTCGCCAAACCCCCTGTTTATGAATGAAAAACGGTTTACACACGACTCACAACTGCTGACGTTCGAACATATCCGGAACAAGTGCTTCACTGACCAATTTTGTTCGAATCACAACGCTATAAATGCTTCACCCACGTACTACAAATGCAAATAATCGCCAACCTAAACACCTACCTAACTAACCTAACCTAACCTAACCTAACCTAACCTATGCCTATATATGCACAATATGCCATTATATTATAATATTAATTTATATTTGAGAAAATTCTTGTTTTGAATGAACAGCATGTTAAAATTTATGAATGCGTCTGTGGGGGGTCGACCGCTGGATGGAATGGACTTAGAGTCGTTGTTGTTGTTATAGATTCAGCAATTCGGAACAAGTTCCAAGTAGCACGGGCTATGGAGAGCCCGTAACTTACCTGGCACAGGAGCGGGGCAAGTAGCACGGGCTATGGTGAGCCCGTGACTTGAGTCGAGGCCGGGTTGCATATATACGTCTTACTCTGAAATCATTAAACGTTTTCCCCCATGTGTTGCCCATCAAGTTGGACTGATCATTACTGCGACAGCCCTGCATCTTGCAAGGATGGCGTTCGATCCCTGAAGGGCCCAAGTGACGGTGGGCATTACATCCTCATAATCCAAGAGCTATCATATTCCAAATGCTATCGTCGCACGGATTTACCGCCTTTTCATAATTTTCTTTTCTCGACGAGCAAACGGCTGGTTACAGAGCGCCTGTAACGAGTCACTGGCTTTGTAAGAACGTAAAAATACCGATCTTACGTAACCTCACAGACCCATTGTACCTTCTTGTAAATAAAATTATTATTATTTTTGAGGTTGTCACGTACGAGCCTCAAAGCACCGCTCCTGTGCCAGGTAAGTCCACTACGGGCTCACCATAGCCCGTGCTACTTGCCCCGCTCATGTGCCAGGTAAGTCCACTACGGGCTCACCATAGCCCGTGCTACTTGCCCCGCTCATGTGCCAGGTAAGTCCACTACGGGCTCACCATAGCCCGTGCTACTTGCCCCGCTCATGTGCCAGGTAAGTCCACTACGGGCTCACCATAGCCCGTGCTACTTGCCCCGCTCATGTGCCAGGTAAGTCCACTACGGGCTCACCATAGCCCGTGCTACTTGCCCCGCTCCTGTGCCAGGTAAGTCCACTACGGGCTCACCATAGCCCGTGCTACTAGGAACTTGTTCCGAGTAGCTGAATCTATAACAACACGTACGAGGGAGAGGCAGCAAGAGGATGTCACACAGCCCTCGGCGAGTCTGCTCGTAAACCCGACCAGGTAAAAATGGGTTTTATGTACCCTTAACCCAGGTGTCACTTTTTTTCCTTTGGTCACCTCTGGTGGACCTCAGTCTTCTGCGTTTCCAAATACTAAGCCGTGGAAGTTTGCTCCTTAGTTCGTATTGATTTATGGTCGTATTTACACTGCCCTCGCAGCCGGAACATTAATACTGTCAATTAGTTCTGGTCCCTAGGACATATTGACACAAGGTTGAGTTTCCCTTATTTTCCTTCGTCCTAAACATTAATACGTTTAGTGTCATCCAATTCCGACCCTTAAACAGTAATATAGTAGTATTTCCATCGCTGTCACAGACCTGAAACTTGGTCTTTACTCTAGGGTGATATAAGTACCAAATTACGAGACATTCATGCAGCAAATCAGCCAAACGATCCCGTCGTTCCTGGAGTCTTATTTGAACAAGCTGTTAAAGCCTATTTCCTCAGCCTTCATTAATTGCAAGCTCGCGGGGGCGCGCATGCACACATAGGCCTACACAGCCACACACACGGTGGAAACTGAGTGCCCAAATGACCCACAGAGATTAGAATGAATTTTTTTAGTGTCAGAGTGGTTGATAAACGGAATGCATTAGGAAGTGATGTGGTGGAGGCTGACTCCATACACAGTTTCAAGTGTAGATATGATAGAGCCCAATAGGCTCAGGAACCTGTACACCAG